TTGACATGCCCACAATATGCCAACACTAACTTCTTGATCTTTCGCAGTGACTAACGCTTCCGTTTTGCCAACCGTTCTGAATCATTCTGGCTGGTTCAGCACATATCCACAGAACTGACACACATCATTATTCTTGGACACAAAGTTATATGAAGGAATTGCATCCCCTCAGGTTGCTTTTCTAGTTGCCATTTTTGGCTACAGGATCACTCGGAATTTGCATGCAAAAAAAATATGGTAGCCTATGTGTTGTGGGTGTGTTACAGTTTTCAGTAATTTTATCAGCAAGATTTCTGTATCTTTCCATCTGTGAAGCAAGATGCCCTTGGCTTATATATTTATCACCCACTCTACTAAGATTTTAGAAGCTTCTTTGAAAATCCATGCAACCCAACTTCAAGATTTTCTATTGCAAAACAAAGCTTACTGTGGATAACCACTGATCTCTAGAAGACCCTGTAATCCCACCTCCTCGGAAAGGAAAGACAGCTGCTTTTGGGGTTCATTCACTGCTGAAATGGAGTTCAATCGTAAAGGCTACAATATCCATGTTTTTGACCTTGGGGCAGGGCAATCACCCGGAAGGAAGAGGCAAGACTCCACGCAGTGCAGAGAAGCAGTAAGTGCACTTGTATTATAACATTTTGCCAAGGACAGTCTTGCCAGTACGGAACCCAAATGTTGAGAACGAAATGTTGTTTCATGGATGAAAAGCTAAAGCTGTTGCTGTAGATAGCATATACAGTCCATTGCTGGTTGCTCTTGCTCCAGCTGCTCCGCTCATTAAGGCAGCCTGGCTTTTCCCATTTCCAACGCCTGCTTGCTCAGTTGCTCAGAACTTTTGCCAACCTGTAATTGTTTGGACAAGAATTTTCTGGGACAAATGTCTCTCCAGCTGAGATTTTGTGTAAAGTTTCAGATGAAACAGTTTTGTGGTTTTCAGGAATGAGGGGAGGAGAAAAATATGTTGTTTTGCCAGATTAGGAAATGTTTTGGAGTGTTATAAAATGGTCAAGGAGATACTTATCCGAGGAAAACCCATCTGAACATGCTTAGGTAAACACCTTTGAAAAATCTGGCTGTTTTCCTTGTGTTCAATGAGATTTATAGCAAATTTGCAGGCATGTTCTGTGAACATGGATGAGTTTATCATCTCAGCCCTGCACAGCTCCTAAATGTGAACAACATGTGTTCTGCTGCCTGCTCCTACAGCACACGGGACACATATTAGGAATATAGGAACTCCAGACAACTTTCTTGGCCAGTGCCAAGAATGATATGGGCAAGAGCTTACATGAACGGCAGGAGTCTGTGTTCCCCTTCCCAGGGCACCTCGGAGGGGTGAGGCACATATCTCTCATATAGGAGGACTAAAGGGGTGGGGAGATTGGGAGAAGGGAGAGAAGCAAGATGAGCTGGGCAGAAATGGAGTAGTCAATACAAGAGAGTGGGGTTGGAAACAGTGGCTTAAACCTTGGCATTTGGTGTCATGGTTGGGTGCCCTGCTTGAGCTCCACCTGCCACTCCAGGAGAGCACAGGTCTTCTGCAGACAGTCTGTCTTTTCTGAAGATGTCAGAGGACACCTCAGATGACTCCAGATGCTGACGTTTGGGCAGCTCAGTCCTTCTCTAGAAGCGAACAGCTCAGGTGGATGAGGTAGAAAGGGGATACGCCTAACGGCAGCCTTGTCCTTGACGTAGATCACTTTGGGACCAGGACCTCAAGGCATGCTGTATCTGTTTCGACATCGCCTGGTGTCATCCTGCAGAGGAACCTTCCACTGCTCCCAATTTGGCACAATGTGTTCTCCAAGGTCGTGTGCTGTGCATGCTGTAGGCAGATAGTGTTTGCATTGCTGGAGGAAATATCTCTGTGAATGGTGGAATAACAGGATTGGAAGTACTTAATGTACGTATTGCCCAATTTTCCTTCCAAATTATCCTGATATAACAAGTGCTGGGGGTAATAATAAAAAGTGAATGCAGACATTTTGGCAGAGAGCGCAATAGGATTTTGAACATCGCTGGGGAGTTAAAGCCTCAGCTTTCAGCCTTGTCAGGAAGAGTAATTCAACACCAGCCAATTTCATGAGTCAGCTCCTCGCTCTCTGTCAATTGGTTGGCTCCAGCGACTGGCTTGGCCCTGGGATTCAATGGAAATCGAAATGCAATGCCTGTTTTTCATGAACTTAAACATGACAAAGGGGAAGTGAAACCTGACAGTCGGAAACAAACATTCCAGGCTCAGTTCGGGCAAGAGCCTGACATTTGCAAAACAGCGCAGTATTTTATTTAACACATCAGAGAAGTACCAAATATTATTAATCACCTTATTCCATGACTGCAGAGGAAGCTGGAGCAATGAGAGGTTATCATCACCAAAGAGAATGAGGAGAAAGTGCTGAACCACCGCCTCTGATGCAATACACCTTCAAAGCGTTTCACCATGGGAAAGGCACAGCAGTGCCAGTGAAACGTGGCCTCATTTAATCTCCTGGAAACAACAGACACGTTTCTTGCTCTGAAATCTTTGAGGTTCCAGTGCTTTGTGGTTTTTAGACCCTTTGCTATCATTATTATTTGAATCTGAAGTCTAAAAAGAAAATGCCATGTGGAAGTTAAAATAAAAAATATTAGCACATTCTGAAACTGGTTGCACTTGAAAGCTAAGAGTAAATACTTGTGATCATATTCAGACCCTGAGAACAGCTGGATTATGCCTAGGACAAATCAGGAAATGTGTATTTCCTGAGAAATCAGCTTTGTTTATTTCATCAGGAGAGGAGGAAAGGAGAATTTAGACCAAACAGTCATGAAACAAACAAAACTGTACATAGCATCAAATGTCTCTGAGTGTGTAAAGTCTGAGGTAGGGTGGAAAGCTACCAGAAATGTTGGTAGCCTTGAAGTCAACAGCAAAATTCCCACCAGCAGGTTCCTGCAGAAGCCAGGTCTCACTCCACAAGTCCTTTTAGTTACAGCCCTGCAGGTGACCGGTGTGCATTACCTTGGGCAGAGGATTTTCACCTCATAGTCCCTTCTAAAGCACTTCTCAGACATTAATGAATTAAATCTCACAACATTCCTCTGCATCAGGTCATTATTGTTATGATGGCAAGTCCACCCCCAACCTCTGAGCCCACCTGGCAATTGCTTCATCCTCTCCACATTACAGTAAGCAGCAACATTTCCCAGCCTGGCCTGAAAGGGAGCGCAGGGCTGTAGCTCTGCTCTTTCCTCCTGCTTGGTTTCATTAACACAGGAAACAACAATCAAATAAATCTCCCTGCTTTTGGCTCCTCTCTGGCTTAGCACAGGTTGGGAGCTGGGCCAGGGACCGTTCCCAGGGGGCAGCCTGCAGGAAGCCCCCCTGTTTTGAAGGGTAAGGAGTTTATTAACCAGCTGGCCTCCATGCCCAAGTTCCCACGCGTGTTTAATTCACTATTGTGTGTGATGCAAGTCGTCTCTGGAGTGCCCAGGCCTCAGCCAGTCAGACTGGGTAACCCCAAGGCTGTGGAACACCTACATGCTTTTCCTCTCTATAGGTGACGAGGGCACGGAGGGGAGGGGTGGAGGAATGATGTAAAACCAGGTCTTTTCCCATCAGGGAGCCAAGGCATGATCAAGGCACAAAATAAACCTAGCCTAATTAGCAGAGACTGAAAGGTTGCAGAAGGAGAGGGGTCCTCACCTGCTGGGAGAGGGATGCACCCCAGCTAACTTTGGGAAATTAAACGTTTGATTGGGAGCTCAAATCTCACTATTGAGCTGGTAGGAAAAGCTGCTAATTCCAGATGGCAATTCAAAGTGCCCAAATTTGCAACTGAACTTGCTGGGTTGGTTTTTTTATAGAAACATAGAATTGTTTGGGTTGGAAGGGACCTTAAAGATTATCTTGTTCCAACCCCCCTGCCATGGGCAGGGACACCTCCCACCAGATCAGGTTGCTCAAAGCCCCATCCAGCCTGGTCTTGAACACTTCCCAGGGATGAGGCATCAACAGTTTCTCTGGGCAACATATTCCAGTGTCTCACCAACCTCACAGTAAAGAGTTTCTTTCCAGTATCTAATCTAAATCTCCCCTCTTCCAACTTAAAACCATTACCCCTCACCCTATCTCTACACTCCCTGATAAAGAGTCCCTCCCCATCTCTTCTGTGGGATCCCTTTCGGTGCTAGAAGGCTGCTAGAAGGTCTCCCCAGAGCCTTCTCTTCTCCAGGCTGAACAACCCCAGCTCTTTCAGTCTGTCCTCACAGGAGAGGTGCTCCAGCCCTCAAGGGATCCTGATCCTCCCCAACACCTAAACTGACTAGTCAGAGCTCACTGCAGCTCAGTATCCTTTCTGGTGTCCCCAGGCTCAGGGGATGAAGAGGAGAAGAGGGATAGGTCAGTGCATGCCCAGGGTTTGCCTTGGTATGGAGCTGGGATGGACTCAGAGTCGGACAGACAGGACTCAAGACTTCCAGAGGGTTTCTCAGTTAAAATATAACCTCGGTTAGGTGTGTAGGTACTGTCTAACCTAGATTCTTGCAATCACAGTGGTCAGAGACACGTGTGACCACTGCCATGAGACCTGAAAGCAGAAAGCAGATTTAAAAAAAAAAAAAAGAAGAAATCAAAACTTTTCATTTAGATGTGGTGTTGGGGGATATGGTGTAGGGGAGAACTTTGTAGAGTAGGGTAGACGGTTGGACTCGATGATCCCAAGGGTCTTTTTCAACCTAAATGATTCTATGATTCTATATACAGATCTAGCAATCTGGGGAGAGACCTTTGTGTTTCCTGAACACTTTGGGTCCACAGTTCTTACTGCATCCTCATCTCTGGGCATTTTTCCTGGTTGCATGGGAAGGGAATGTTTATTTTTCACAGGAACTCATTGATTTGGTGATTTATCCTGGGCAGAGGTTTAAAGGGCCAGCACCAAAGGAGGTGATCTAGCTTCAGAAATGTCTCCACTCAGGAGTACGGCTTTTTATTTTTATTTATCTATTGCCCCACAATTCCTTGAAGCAGACTCAGCTCCTTCTTCTGCTTATTTTTAGTCGTGAACTGGAGCAGTGAAGGAGAAATCAGTGCGAGCTGAGCATGCATCTGTCATCACTAGCTGTCACAGCACCAGAGACGCCGTGTCCGTCCTTTGCCTCGCATCCGACATCGTCTCCAGCAATTACATCCCACTTTCCTTCAAAAAAAAAAAAAAAAAAAAACACCGCTTTCACTCCCAATCCCCAATACTATTGCATAAATACTCTAATTCTTCCTATAAGGAGATTGTGATGACTAGCCATAGTGGTCTTTAAAAAAAAAAAAAAAAAGACAGCTCAAATGAGGAAGTTCACAACATCAACAGGCTACAGAACTATTCTTGCTATGGTTAAATTAGCGTCAGGTTCTCTTGTCAGGGGTTTCTATGGAGACATTGCACTGTCCTGGCAGGCAGTGTATGCTTCATGCCAGCTATATTTATTTGTGTTTGTCAGTGAGCCAGAGTGGGCCAAGCCCTGCTCTGTCCATTTGGAGTTACACAGGATTCCTGCTGGCTCCCTCCGGCAGAGCTCTGGGCACCGATCAAGGAGGCGTGCCATTGTTTGCTACTAACGCTTTCTTGCAGGGTATATTTAATTCTTTGCAGCTCTTGGCCAAGTCTTCTGCAAAGAGAGGGGAGTGCTGGAAGCCCAGCTGGCTGCAGAGCTGTCCCGTAGCAGAGTTACGTTTGGTCCCGTGCTGGGTGTGTTGGGGCTGTGGGAGTACGGGGTGCCACGGAGCCGGCAGCATTGGATGGGTTGTTTGGGATGGCTGGACACGTCCCATGGACTGCAAGTGGGATGTCCCTGCTCCAAGGCAACCTGTGTGCTTCCTGAATGGCGCACTCTGTTAGTGACTGCCTGCAAGCCACCCTCTTACATCCCAATTTTAGATCGCTAGTAATTTCTCAACTACTGCGCTTATTTATAGCTGGATGTAAACTGCATAACTGATACTAACGGCTGTAGTCATTAACTGAGGTGGATTTCCACGTAAATGAGCTGCCATCAACTAGTCCCAGCTGGCATCTCCAGCTTCAGGGTGTGATGGGAACAGGACAAGTGCCAGGGAAGGCTTAGGGACCAAGAGGGAACTGAAAGGTGCCATGAAATCACTAGCTGCTGGCTAAAGTAGTGAGTTAAGAGGAGACTTGTTCATCATCTGAACCTGCTGGGTAAAGAGTGACCTGTGGCCACTGTTAAATGGACCACTCTGTTCCCTGGAGCTGTTTGACAGAGACCACGGGAGTATTTACTGACACAAATTTATGTGCGCACAGGACTGACAGCTGCTTTCTTCTGCCTGTCTACCTCCCCACCCCACTGCTGACAAAGGCAAAGCCCTTCTTCCAGGTGAGGGGAATGAGCAGTGAACAGAGGCAAAAGGTGGATGTGAGTCAAGGAGTCTGGGGAAATCCATCAGGAGCACAACCAGTGGGCAACTACAGTATTCAGAGCGCAGGACATGGGTCACCTTTCAAGAAGCTCTCCATGATATCCTCATCCTGCAGGCTCCTGCATCAAGGTTCATTGCTGAACATCTCTCTTCCAGCAGATCCAAGGGAATGGAAAGGCCCTTCTTTTAGCTCCAGAGAGGAGCTGAAATCAAAGGCATGAACACCCTTGGAGGACCCCTGTGTAACCATCTTGAGATGCTTCCTATTTCTGACTCTCGGGCTACATGAGTGAATACTCTTGCTGATGTGTGACATCATGTGTGTGACATCATGTGTGACATCATATAAACATTATATGTTTATAGGAAAGTTTCAGCCCCAGTCCCTCACTTTCCAGATCAGACTAATGCTTGTATATGGCTTCCTCACCACATTATTTAATGAGCTGATCCCAGCTCCAAGTGATCCTAGTGAAGAGGTGATGCATGGCCCAGAAACCACGGGCCAGCCCCTGGCATGGTGTTCTCATCTCTGCTCTGCACTTGTAAATCTCTAGGAGCAGCTGCTCTGGCTTGTACCCTGTTTCCAAGGCTCTGCTCTGAGCCTGATCGAGAAGGGATGCATTGACTCTTTCCCAAAGTGGGCTCGTCCAGAAAGTGTTGACCCAGCTGTGTGTTTGGGTGCAAATATAGCCAGATGCGATGCAGCCACTTTATTCCCCTTGGCACACTGATGGTACACCTTAGCCACAGAAGTCCACATTGTTCTCTGAAGAACAAACCTCGCACTGGAGAATTATCCTCTTCACAGGAACAAACAGGACTCGAACACATGGCCAAGCGGGATGAGGCACCGAGGTCCAAATTCTGCCGAGTGTGTGACCACAGCAGGACATGCTGGACTGTCACAAAACAATCCAAGGAGGTTGAAATCCTTCCTACTGCACCATAGCGATGGGATGATGTCCTGGAGGAGAAACGTAGAGTCAGTCGCTCTGAGCCAAGCTGAAGACCAATCCAATCACATATTTTGTCCCTTAACAGTGGCCACCGATGGGTGCCTAGAGGAGGGTAAAAGGGGGCATCCATCTGCATCCTTATTCCCTTGGTATGTGCTGCCAGGTTCTGGCAATCTGTAGCAACTGACTGCAAAATGCAGGTTAAGACATTTTTAAGAGTAGGTAAAATCAGCATTCTCCCATGCTATTTTGGGGTTAAAAATGCACTCTTGCCTATACATTTTGGAGTGGCACTTTTCCCATTTATGCCTGGGTTGGGCAGCCTGATTCCTGCAAGTGAGATGGCAAATTCTGCTCCTCTCATAGCTGAACTGTGTAATAGATGTAACTTGTATTAATTTCCATACCATACTATATTTAATAATTTTCCTAATTATATGCCGAGAGACCAGAGCAGTTAATTTGAAGAGTTCCATGAATTTCTACACACTTGCAACCTTTGGCATGAATATAATTAAGTTTTATTAACATAATTAATACTTATGGTAAAAAAAAAGAGGACTGCTATCATTTTACTCTTGTATTTTGGATATGAGTTGAGATCACGATACTGTAACCACAAGCAACAAATCAGAGCGTGATAGATGGATTTGCCTTCATTAGCAGCTAATGGTGACAGCCTTTAAATTTACTTGGGAGGAAGAATTGATGGCATAGAAAGCTGACTTCGGAGTCTGATGGTTTTATTTCATGGAGAGGAGAGTTAATAAATCTTCATGCTGCTCTGATTAATGATTCTGGAAAGCGTCTCTCCAGATTCTTGGAAACTTTCCTGAAAAGGAGCAGTGAGCTGGTCAAGGAAGTAAATAATGCTCACAAATGAAAAGCTGTCCGATAAATTCATCTCCAAGCAGGCACCAGGCCAGGTGTGTGTTCCCCCGTCTTTGCCATCAGAGGGGTAAGCACTTGAGCATGGTTCATGGGCAAGATTTGCAGTAGGTGGTTAGAAAAGTAACACAGGCCTCTGGGAGCGTGGAATTGGCTCCAATCTCTGCAACAGGCTCTCTGCAACAGGCTCTCTGCAGCTTCCTTGGCCAATGCACTTAATTTGCACCAGTGGGTGCAAAACCAGTGCTTTTAACTCTTGAGTTTCTGGAGGAAGCCCCCTGCCCATTCCCAGGGCTGACTCCAGTTCCCAGGAATCCCTGTGGGCATTGGGAAACCGGGTCTCGAAACTGGCCGGGTGCCCAGGGAGGGAGGGACGGGTGGAGGTGAAGCAACCTGGAGGCTTTCTTCCTTTCCCTGGGCAAGGAAAGGTGCTCCTCCCTCTCCAGCCACCTTAGCTTCCCTTACCTCTCCTTCTCAAAAGGGATTTTATTCTAATGGTTTGTTAATGAACGCCTTTATCTGATTGCAAGGCAGCTCCCTTTCGGGTTGACGACACCGGCGGTAAAAGGGGCCAACATTTCTTTGTGTCTCATTGGGGACGTGTGTCCCCGGCACACCTTTGCCGTATCGTTTGCCGAGCCGGAGCCCCGAGGCTGCTGGGTGCCATGCGAGCCTCTGCTTGCCCAAACTGAACCTGCCAGGGCTGCAGGACCACAGCCAGCCGAGCAGAAGAGACCTAGAGAAGGTTTTTGTCTGCAGTGGGGATTGAGATGTCCGGCAGCCTAATGAGGATAGAGCCTAACGATGCTCAGGGCTCGCTTCAGAGCTTGAGCTCCCTTTCAAAGCCCCCAGGAAACTAAAAAATAAAACTCAAAATGTTTTTACTTCAGGCTTTTTCTAAATAAAACAGTCCAATAACTTGGTTTAAAGAATGCTTTATTTAAAAATATACATAATTTTTTTTAGAGATGATTAAAACCAGTGTGAGAATGAGTGAAGAAAGGCTTATTTGGGGCTCAGTGAATCATTTCATTCAAACTGGGAGTCAAGCTTGCTTGGAAGTGTTTGCGGCTTCCCAGTCAATACACCAAGGCAGACAGACTCTTAGAAAAAAAATGTGAATTTGGAAAAAAGTTGAGAAAATTATCCCCTCCTGCTTTATTATTTTATTACAGCCAAATCATTGTGTTCCTGACAGCCTCGGCCTCAGCCCTGTGCTTATATTGAGCCAAATTAATCTTGCTGCCCCTGACCAACGCACGCAAAAGCACATGCTAAAAATATTGTGATTAGGACGCGTGATGAAGGAGAGAATAGAAATTCCACTTCTGCTCTCCGCCGGCTTCTCTGAGAGCTCACAGCATTAGCACTTTGCCTTTAGTATTGGGCTTGATTATATTATTTGGGGGGCAGGGGGGAGCAGGAGATGAGATTATTTCTGACTATAGCCTATTTTTAGGAGGCGATGCGATGGCAGGCACTGCGGAGACCTCTCTGCTTTGGCAAGCTGCTCTGCTGTCCCCGTGTGCAATCACTCCCAGCCTGTAATTCCCCTCGGCTAAACTGCAGGTAGCAGCCAAATTTGAGGGATTTTACCCCAAAGCTCAGCTGCTTGTGAATGAAAAAGCGAGGATGCAGGAGAAATGATCCATACAATTTCAGGGCAAGAAGAGCTGTTATGGCTCGCTGAGCGCCCGGAGAATATGGTGATGTGCAGCAACATAAAACCTGGAGCGAGATAGCCATCCGCCCCGACCTCCCGCTCTGCCCAGGCTCTGAAATTCCAGCCAGCAATTCCTCCCTCATGACTGGTAATTGAAAAAAATAGCCTTTCAGCAGGCATTTCACAGAGCCTCACGTGCTGCTTAAATCTGCTGGGGCCGCCTGGGCTTGCCTCAGGAAAGATGCTCTTCGGCAAAGGTCCTCAGAGCGTCCCTTCGTGTTGCCCCGGGGCTGGCAGCACGGCTGGGAGGTGGTGGTGTTCTCCTTCTCAGCCTCTCCAGGTTGTCTCCTCTGTCACACGAGCATCCTCTCCACGCGCCAGGAATAGGTACGTGGCGGAGACAGCACCGCTGGTCGCGTGCCAGTTGCCATGGAAATGCAGAGCAATGTATTCTAGAAGTTTTCCTGGAAGGGAAGATGGTTGGAGTGATCGGAGGGGGAGATGGAGGGCAAAGAGATGAGATCCAGCAGCTGGGTGGTGACCCATCAATGGCGCCATCTCCAGTGGCCATCCCAGGAGAAATCACTGCTCTGTGATTGTGCTCTGCACATTGTTCCATCCACTACCCATGAAGTCCGTTGCAAGCTTCAAGATTTTGGGATGCCACTCCCTTCTCCATCTCAGAGGCCTGACAGAGGGAGCTTTGGGGTCATTTATAAAGAATATGGGCTTTGTGGTTGGCTTTTGATGTGTTTTTTTGTGGGGGGCGGTAGGAGATGCTCTACATCCAGAAGATGGGAGTCACAAAAGGTAATTCAGGGATTTGCATCGAGCATGAGGTAGTACTGGCAGCTTGCAATCCATGGGTGCTCGTTGGGCAGCTGACTCTTTGGGTGCCAGCCTTTGTCCCTGCCCCTAACAGCATGGGGGGAAGCAGCAGCACTTCCCAGAGAGATTTCTTTAAAATACCCAACTCCATCTGCTGCTCAGCCCCCCCAAACAACAAACAGAAAATCCCAGGGACACTGTTGGCCAGAAGAGATGGAAATGCTGGGGAGCAAGGGGAGGCTGGCAGTGCTGTCAGATTGTTTTCTTCTTCCTGGCTTCCTGGGGGAAAAAAAACCAAAACAAAACAAAACACTTTTGAATTGCAGAAGCATCTTCTTGAATATTGAGGACCAGTGGCCCAGAGTCAACAAAGCTGCTTTCTTGCCCATGAGAGAAGCCCTTGGAAGAGGTTAGCAGTGAATTTCGTGGCTTCACCCGTCACCACAGACAGGTTTTGGTCACCAGGAGGAGGGAATTAGTAGCTTCATGTGAGCAGCCAGCAGATTTATTGCACACACCTCCATTTGCTCGGTGGCTCTTATGAAGCTGCAAGCGTGGGGGTGGTGGGCACTCTCCAAACAAACTGAAAGGGAGATTTCTTCACCTAAAACTTAGCTCATCTCACAGAGCAGAGGATTCTAAGGGTTCAGAGAGGAATCAGCCAGTGGAAAAATCCACTGAGGACTATTAAATATAAGGCATCAGTTCGAATGCAGAAGATACCTGAGCCGTGAATACTTGGGGCTTGGAGAAGACTCATGGAAACCACACTTTTCCCTGGATGTCTGTTGGCTTTGGACACGTAGGCCCAAGTTTGGCTGCCAGAGTAATATTGTCAGCCCATACTCAGCCCATCCTTTGAAAAAAATGGATTCCAGCCTCAAATCAGTGATGGTCATTTCTGCCCTTGCCAGAGGCTGCAGGGCTGCCTCCTCTTGCCCAGCCCTCACGCTGCAGTGAGAAAAGTGCTCCCTAGCCCTTCCCCCAGCAACTTGCTGGGTCATGGCTAGTCAAGGCAGGAGGACGAGAATATTTGCCTCCTTTCCACAGCAGCTTCTCCCTTGAAAAGGTCTGGGAGTCCCAGGAGCATTCAACCCCCTGCCAAAATCTCGCCAGACTGTAGGGAAGACCCCAGACCAAGCCTCCAAAGATGAAAGCTAAGGGAGAAATGGGACAAAGCCAAGAATTAAGGCTTGATTTCCATGCTATAACCCCAACTGGGAGCACAGACTGGAAAACTGGAGGGAAAAGAAGGGTGACGTGCCATTGCAATGGGTTGCATGCAGCACGATGGGATGGTCAGGAGAAAGGTGCCCCCCCTGGGACCAAGCTGGCACCCAGCTCTGTGGGGGAAACATCTGGGTGGATCAGCAGGAGCCAGCGAGGAGCTCACCAAGCAAGTGCTCGCCCTGGCTGGTGGAATCAGGCAGGCTCCTGGGGACCATGGCTTGTGCCAGCCGGTTCCAGATGGCAGGTGACTGGGGGAGTCCCGGGCTGGCAGCCTGTGCGCTGCGGCACGCTTGGAGGGCTGCAGTTCTGGGCGAGCTTGGGGGTGAGCCTGGGGCTGAGCAACCTGTGCCCTCCCAGAAAGCTCAGAGATGCTTTTTGGGCTCCCAGCATCACTGGAGCAAAAACGCTTCTTCCTTTGGGGTCGACGTTTGTTGCCCCAAGGATGCTCCCACCAGGGTGCAGGGAGGGAGCAGAAGATCGAAGGCCTTCTGCTTGGGTGAACTTCTGCTGCGAGGTGTGCCCCGCAGACACACACGGGGCTGCCACAGAGGCTTTCCAAACTGCTTCAGCTCTTAAAGACCTTAAGCAAAGCTTCCCGCAGCATCTCAGGGACTAGAGAAAGAGAGAGAGAACCCAAAAAACGGGTCAGAGCCTGAGCTGTGGTACCTTCCCGGGGTGCCTGCGTGTGGCAGGGGGGACCTGGCCACTGCACGGATTTCCTCTCCGTATTTTTATGACGACACATTTCACCCCAGGAAGGCTATCCCGCCTCCTCGCCAGCCAAGTGCCCCTTCTGGGAAGGGAAATGCTGTGCCAGCACCTGGTCCCGGAGCTTGGCTTTGGCCGTGGTCACGTTTCCCCATTACCTCATGCGTCGTGTCACCTCCACGGTTGGAGCTAACACAGCCGTGCTCCTCCCGTGGAAACTGCCGTCCAAGAGGGTCACTTTGGACTGTGTTTTTTGTTGTTTTTTTTAATAGAAGTGGGTCTCTATTTATCTCAAACTTAAAAGAAAAAGGCATGCATCCAGAGGAAGAAGGCACATTAGGCAGTACCTGTACAGCCACCCCTGTACAGTCTGCAGCGCTCTCCCAGGCAGACGAGGCATATATAAACCACACAATATTGTTTATTTTCTTGTCTGGGGAACTGAAATGTCGCCACTATTTTAGGATCATGTCTGAGGATGGAGAGAGGTTTACGAGAGCTGCCTCTGCCCCATGGTGGTAGCTGGCGACATTCCCATGGCATTTTAGGCTGGCATCATTGAAAAGGTGGGACAGTTTTTTCCATCTCCAGGAGAAGAGGAGAGCTGCTTGTCCTGGCAGCGGTTGTGCCAGGGATGTGCACAGCAGCAGGCAAAAGAGAGGATCTGGACTCAGAGGCTGGAGGCCCTACACATCCTAAGGCCTGTCATCCCCGTTAAAATGTGCCACAGCCAAATAAAATAAGAGCAACCAAGGTCTGATGGGTCCATCTAATGCAGCCAGGGAGAGGTGAAGAAGAGAGCAAGGGTCCTGAGGTCCATCCCTTGGTCAGGTCCCATAGGTGTCCAGCAGATCCCCTAAGCAGCAGTGGTGGTTATGTTTAGTAAGCCACAGATGGGCTGTTTTGAACCTGTTTACCATCTTGGTGCCCGCAATGTCCTGAAGCACTGAGTTCCAGCTTCATCACGTAGGGCTAAGTATTGCCTTTGGTTTGCCTGAAACTCACTTTCTGGCCATTGCACTGGGCTCCCCTCAGCTCCTGTGAGATTAGAAACGATTAATAATTGGATCCCACTCACCATTTCCACACTCTGATAATTTTCCAGATCTCTTTCCATCCCTTCTTTTATTTCCAACCTGAACCTTACAGCTCATTCCCTGACACTCCCTGAATCACCAGCCAGGCTTAATGCTTCTTTGCACCTCTTTGCCAACCATCTCAGTGCACTTTGCAGAGGCAACGGTGAACAGCCTGCCCCCAACATGGGGAAGCACTGCTAGACACATTTGCAAGTGATTTGCCCGAGGTAAGGCAGTGAGTCACTGCTGGAGCCAGGAATAGCACCGGAGCAGGGCCCCAGCCTCTGTGCCCCAGCTCGAGCATCTCTTGGCCCCGTGGACACGGATGCGGTCACTGCTGCACATCCCCAGTGGACCCAGCCCACCAGCAAGGGCTGTAAGCACATGGAGGCAGGGAAAACATGCAGGTAGAGAGGCCAGGGAGAGGTCCTCTCCTCATTTCTAACTCCTTTGCGTCCTACAGCTTTCTCCTGCAGATCCCGTTGCGGAGGTAACCTTCTCATCAGCCACCTTGCTCTCAGACACGGCAGGTTTGCACCCGTAAATATTTTTATAGATGTGTTTTGTAGTGGGCTCTGAACCCAACAGCCAGGTTGCCCAGAGAAAACCTTCTCCTCCTCATTCAAACTGCCTGTGTTGGATGCCTGTTGGTGATCTGCTCCCCAAAGCATCACTGCTTTTCCAGGATCAACTCCGAATCGATGCTGGAAATTTGTAAATCTCCAAACAACCAAGCAGGGAAAACAACAGCCTCCAGCCTTGCTTCACTGGAGACTTCACCCCACCACAGCAGCTGGGGGGAGGTCGGGAAGATGCTCAGGGCACTGCAGAGGGGGTGGAAGCACGGCCAGGATCCTGCCAAATCACTGCTTGTGTTGAGTCTACTCTTAAAACATCCTCCTTTGACAGGCCAGTGGGGTTTGCAGTGTGGATCTACCCTCTCCCAGCCCAAATCCGTGCCTATCGCTTGCCGGCCTGGGTGGGAGCCATGAACTGGGATGACTGGAACGCGGGGAGGGAGCTGGCCGCAGCCTTTGCCTTCTCTTTTTTGGCCGCTTGCTCGCTCGCAGGAGGAGCAGGCATCCACTTCACAGCTCCAAATCAAAGCAAATACAAAATGCCAGCAGAAAGTATTGCAAAATCAGGCACGGAAAGGAGGGGAGGGAAAAGGGGGGGGGGGATGAATAGCAAACCCAGCACCTTTCACGCTTCTAGAAGGAACAAGAGCAACAAAAGGCATTCAGAGGGAAAAAATAGCATAAGGCGAATAAGAGCCTGGGGAGATGTAAATCTGGAAGAACAGCAGCCCACGGTGGGAGGGGAGCCAAAGCCCCACTGCGCTGCTGCGGCGCAAGGGCCGGATCCGGAGGGGTGCCCAGCATTTCCCCCCCACCCCCCCTCCCCAAAAAGCTCCCCGGCCCGGCCGTGGGAACTGCAGAGCCAAAGCTGAAGGCGGGGGAAAAAGCAAAGAGTTGGGGGCACACGCGTGTGTTTGCACACCCCGTGCGCGTGCACGTGTGTGCGATGGTGGGGGGGGGGGTGCTTGCGGGCTGGCAGGGGTCT